TTCCGTCTCCTTTCCAAAAAAACAATGTTTTCCCAATCTTTGTAGTCACAAAATAAAGCTGTTATGGTTCCGACAGATGAAGCTCTTCAAAGAACTTTGAGGCCTTGTTTACCTTAAAGAATCTTTATTCCTCGTCGTTGTGTAGCCGTGAATGTATCCGGTTCGGTTTTAGACTGAAGGGGAGGGGAGTCGTGTATCATAGTTGCGTGTTAAGGGAGGATGTTGATTGTCAGTATTTAGTGTAAGAGGTTAATCAAACTTTACGTCCGAAAGGCGGGTCAAGAAGTAAGGCGGTACGGAATAGTAGAGAAATAATGTTTGCCGGGACTATTCACATACTATTACAATATTGTTACATCTAACTAACTCCCATCACATTCCTCCCCCTTCCCCCCAGTATCATCTAATTCTAAGAGTAAAGCATGAGAAAGAAAAAGGCTGCATCTCCATATGTTGTCAAAGCAAGAACATCCGACGTTAGCAGCTTAAAAATGATGCGAGGGGACATCTGTTGACACCATGTTTATAATATTTGCCTTGTTCCATTTATGACATATCGTCCTGCCAGGATTGGCGGGAGTTCATTTTGCTGCAGGAATTGCAAAAGTCCCTGACAGCATCTGATCTAATCCAGATATCCAAACAAGTTATCCTGGAGGGGACAGCAAAGCATGCCACCCACCCTTCCCTCTAGTAGCAGCAAATGCATATCAACAGCAAGTACAGTATACTAAATCCTCGACTTACGACCACAATTGAGCTGAAAGCTTCTGTTGCTAAGCGAGACATTTGTCTCAAAGTTGTTTTTTTTCAAAAGGCAACTGGACTGTTTTTTTTTTTCCCTTGAGGAAGAAAATGTTTCACTTCTCCTCCAAGAAGCTTCATTGGTTCTGACGGTGGAGAGACGGAGGGAGGAAAGAACCTCGACAGAAACATATCGAGATGTTTGTTAAATGATTTTTTTTCCTCTCCTTTTTACGACCTTGCTTTCCACCGTTGTTAAGTGAAACACTGCCACTGTTTAAGTTAGTCACACGGTTAATCTGGCTTCCTGGTTGACTTTGCTTGTCAGAAGGTCGCAAAAGGGGATCACAGGACCCCGGGACACGGCGACCGTCATAAATATGAGTCAGTCGCCGAGCATCTGAATTATGATGATGTGACCCTGAGGATGCTGCAAAGGTCGTAAATGTGAAAAACGGTCATGAGTCAATTTTCAGTGCTGTTGTAACTTTGAACAGCCGCCAAACGAACTGTTTGTAAGTCGGGGACTATCTATATACTGAGACAATAGAACAACTCAAAGAAGTAGTGCACGATTGGAAGATGTGGAGAAGTTGAGCGCTCCCTGTAAATAAGTATTAGTTGTCTGTTCACGAAACCTACATTCTAGTGCAGTGATGGTAAACCTTTTAGAGGTCGAGTGCCCCAAAACTGCCCACCCCCGCTCTGTGCCCCGCCCACCCGCAGGGCCACCCACCACCTCCATGGCCTGCTGCAGCAGATCACCCAAGCAGCCCAGCAGTGACATGGCAGCCACGCCCTCAGCACGCATCATCTGTGTGTGACAGGGCGCGAAGGTGGAGTCTTGTCCCCACTACCTGGTTGCCATGTCTTTGGCTGCGCTGCTCTGCGCGGACTGCACTCGGAGGTGACTCTCCGGGGGGCTGCTGGTGAGGAGGGAGGCGGGGCTGGGGCAATGGCGCGCGTGCCCACAGAGAGGGCTCTGAGTGCCACCTCTGGCACACGTGCCATAGGTTCACCTCCACTATTCCAGTGCCTATTAATTTCTCTTTCATAAAGCTGGTTCTGATTTTTGTTCTTGAGAGGTCACCTGTATCCCACACTCCATGCCTTTCTTATTGACCACTGATCATCCGAGTGGGAATAAATCAAAGGGATGCGCTCAATGCCATAAATCACTCATCCAAAATATAACTTTCTATAAAGGATTAGCCCCTATAATTCATGCGGTGGGCCACAGAGAACAAATGGGATACAGCGAGGGACATTCTGAGCAGATAGTAGCTGCAACTCATTGATGCAAGGAAGGCAGATGGAAAGCGCTATGGGACAGCCAGCAGAAAAGTAATGTGCGTGGATGAAAAGATTTCAATTCATTGACGCAAATGCTTTGTCCGTACAAAAAAAAAAAGGAAGAAATGCTTCAATGGAAGGAATGGGCTAGTATTAGGTTGCAAATCCAAAGGATTAATCATAGAACATAGGATAATAGAGGTCTACGGAGATTCTCAGCCATCCAGGTCATGGTTGTCTCAAAGGTGGACTCAAACTGGACTTTCCTGTTTTTCTCTGAAGACGTTTCGCTTCTCATCCAAGAAGCTTCTTCAGCTTGTTAAAGGGGGCAAGACTCATTTCTTCAGCAGAGAAGAAGCTTCTTGGATGAGACACGAAATGTCTTCAAAAAAAAAATATAACAAGAAAGCCCAGTTGCCTCGCGAAAAAGCACCTTTGAGACATAGAATAATAAAGTTGGAAAGGAACATGGAGGTCTTCTAGTCCAACCCCCTGCTCATGGAGGAAGCCCCATACTATTCCAAACAAATGGCTATCAAATGTCTTCTTAAAAACCTCCAGTGTTGGAGCATAGACAACTTCTGGAGACGAGCTACTGCATTGGTCGATTGCTCTCACCATTAGGAAATGTCTCCTTCATTCTAGGTTGTTCCTCTTCTTGGTTAGTTTCCATCCATTGTTTCTTGTTCTGTCTTCAGGTGCTTTGAAAAATAGTCTGACAAACCATCACCACCACCCATCTTTGTAGGAGCCTCTCAGATATTGGAACACTGCTATCATGTCTCCCCTAGTCCTTCTCTTCATTAGACCAGACATACCCAATTCCTGTAACCGTTCTTTGTATGTTTTAGCCTCCAGCCCCCCTAATCATTTTTGTTGTTCTTCTCCGTACTCTTTCCAGAGCCTCAACATCTTTTTCATAAAAATTGTGCTGAACAGAACTGGATGCAGTATTCCAAGTGTGGTCTTACAAAGGCTTTGTAAAGTGGTACTAGAACTGGATGTGATCTTGATTCTATCCCTCTATTAATGCAGCCTAGGACTGCATTGGCTTTTTTGGCTGCCGCCGCACACAACTGGCTCATATTTAAGTGATTGTCCACTAGGACTCCCAAAAACAGTGGTGGGATTCAAATATGTGAACAACCGGTTCTCTGTGTGGATGCCACTTCCGGAAGTCCATTCTGGGCCTGGGCAACAAAAAATTAGCTACCGGTTCTGCCGAACTTGCTGAATCCCACCACTGACCACGATCCCTCTTGGAATCCTATTTTATTTCTATGCAAGGGGTGAAAAATAGAAGGTAAAAAAAATCTTTTCGAGATTCAGAATACAAGCAAAGCATAAAATCTTCAGAAATATTAGACAGATGTTGGGCACGGGAGCAGACGATGACAATGGGTAGAGAGATTTGGAAAAGACATATTTTATGTTTGGTTATGGTTTTCTATTAATCTGCCTCTTTTGGGGGGGGGGTCTGCACTTTGTGGATATTACCCAGATTTTTCCAAAGCCACAATTTGTGTGTTGTCTAAAATTCTGTACCGAGCGCAAACGGTCTCAGCATTAAATTTATTGATTTATTTTGCTCTTTGAAATTGGATAAGAAATATTTCCAAGGGGAAGATTGAGGTAAAAGCCATTCCTGATAGCAAACAAAATGTAATGCTAGTAGTCCTCAACGCATGGCCACCATTGAGCCCAAAAGTTCTGTTATTAAGCGAAACGTTTGTTAAGTAAGTTTTGCCCCCATTTTACAACATTTCTTGCCTCAGCTATTAAATGAATCACCATAGTTGATAAGTTAGTAACCCGGTTATTAAGTGAATCTGACTTCCCCGTTGACTTTGCTTGTCAGAAGGCCTTGGGACACACCAATGGTCATAAGTATGAGTCAGTTGCCAAGCATCTGAATTTTGATCACGTGATCATGGGGAGGAGGGTACTACGAAGGTCATAAGTGTGAAAAACAGTCACGTCACTTTTATCGCTGCCATTGTAACTTTGAACGGTCACTAAATGAACTGTTGTAAATTGAGGACTACCAGTATTCCCTGGAATTACAGCCCGATTATTATTTCCAATATTTTAGTTTTCATTTTTTTAAAAAAATAATTAAAGAGTTGATCTGTTATTGGTACCAAGTCTTTCTCTCAGTGATAGCAAGTCTTCAGAACTTTGGGGAAGCAACTAGGCACCTTGTGTATGTGTATTTGTTGTTAGCCTATTTCTAAACAAGCTAAGTATACAACAGCTTCTTTAAAAGCTACCAGATGCCTACTGGATAGCAACAGCAGTTCTTTTCTCCGTAGTCTTTTTTTTTGCCACTCCGTTGTAGTCTCCTCTGAGGTTTACTTGAGGTCTCCATCCTGCAACTTGCATTTCCACACTTGGGCTGTTGATGCTCCATATGTAGGAGAAGGGATGGCGAAAACCTGGTGGTGGAGTTACAAGAGGGATCAGCCTAGAATCCCTACGTAGTCACCAGTGAACTAAGTGCAATCCCCCTTGAATTCTGTTGATCCATATCTAACTCCCATCAGTTGCTAGACCTTAGCTGAGCAGATTCCTGTACATAGGCTTTCAACAATGAAGTACTTTAATGGAACCTTCACACATGAACCTGGCCTTTTGCCCCTGATATCTGAGCTCTTTTTCTTGCCTTTGAAAGCAAAGCTCCTTACATGTAATTGACACATAATTCCTTCTGACACACAGTTAAGGCATAAAAGGTGCAACCCTGTGAGGTAAACTCATTTCTGTCATTTGGGTCATGATGTCACGACACGACGACGTGACAGACGCGAGCAGATCTTTCGCAGCCTTTGCGTCAATGACATCACCACTCCTTTAATTGGCCCAGAAATTGGTCTTTTCCTTGAGATCTGGTCAATTCAGGTTTCATGAGGCAGTTCTTGAAAAAGGATCACTCCAGTTGACCATGGGTTTCTTTATATTTTCAGCCACATAAATAGGAGGACCCAATTTGAAAATCCTGTTTTGGAAGCCAAAAGGAAGTTACAACAGCGTACCATGCCCAACGCAGAACTTGGAATCAAGGCTATGCCAGCCCAAAGTTTCAGAGGTACACCATCACCTCAGTGTACACATGCCAGACGGGACCAACTCTATGAAGTTTTGTGTGATATCTGTAATGGTGTTTTGAATATGTGAATATAGGGAACCTCTATTTTTTTTCCCCTCCCCAAAAAGATTGAAAGGTTTTTTGGCTAACGAACACAGTTCCTAAAATTCCAAAACCAGTAGGAACGGAGTAAAAGGACGGGTTTAAATAGTTTTTCTTAAATGTCGCCATGGTAAGCCTTTCTAGCTTAACATGGGGGAAAAAATCTTCTCCAGTCTATTTAAAAACAAAGCTATAACTGGCTGTAAGATTTGGTTTTCTAGGCAGAAGCAGAAAGATCTAACTTGAAATAATAGTAATAGGGTCATCCGGATGCAACTAGAGAAGGACGGTTGAGTTCCAGGGGGAGCACAAGCCATCTTAGGAAGCAAAAATCACAAAATGTAGTTCACCAAAACTCCACTGTCTTTTTTAGCAAATAAGTGGGAGAGAGTGACTTCCAGTGGGTAGATAGCAATAGCAATAGCACTTATATACCGCTTCATAGTGCTTTACAGCCCTTTCTAAGGGGTTTACAGAGTCAGCATATGGCCCCCCAACAGTCTGGGTCCTCATTTGACTGACCTCGGAAGGATGGAAGGCTGAGTCAACCTTGAGCCGGTGAGAATCGAACTGCTGGCAGTGGGCAGAATTAGCCTGCAATGCTGCATTCTAACCACTGCGCCACCAGGAATCTTGGATGATCTCAGTTGATTCTTTGGGTCCTGTTCTCCTCCGTACACAACTGATACTAAATTGTGTACGTTCTCTTTTCCTTTACTGGCAACCATGGAGGATGAGATAAAAAAGGACCAAGACTGACAGATGAAAAGGGGGGTTCATTCATTCTTTCCAAACTCCAGTCATCCACAAGAGGGACCCTGATTTGAGGACCAAGAGCAGCCTTAAGGATGTTTATTTATTTGTTTTAGAGCAGGGGTCCCCAACCCCCGGTCCGTGGACCAATACCGGGCCGCGGCATGCCAGCAACCGGTCTGCACAAACAAACAAAGCCGCATCTGCAGGATGCAGGCAGCACACAAAACCACGTCCCCTCCGGTCCGCGAAAAACCTCTATCCACGTAACCAGTCCCTGGTGCCCAAAAGGTTGGGGACCTCTAAGAAAAAAGGGTGGGTTTTTTTTCCTTCTTCTACCCCTTATCCCAGTTCTGATCAAATGTTTGATCTATACAGATCTTAGCAACCACATGGCACTTTGGTAAAAGGCACACCCATTTACCTGGCCTTGGTTATCTGAAAAGAGCTGCAGAGATAATAGCAACCGCACTAGCACTTAGATTTATATACCTCTCCTTAGCGCTTTCTAGCCCTCTCTGAGCAGTTTACAACTTCAGCATATTGCCCCCAACAATCTATGTCCTCGTTTTATTGTCCTGGGAAGGATGGAAGGATGAATCCACCTTGAGCTGGTCAGGATCGAACTCCAGGCTGTAGGCAGAATTAGCCTGCAATGCTGCATTCTAACCACTGGGCCACCACAGCTCTAGAGATACACGTAGAGTCTCCTGGAAGAATTTTTCCATGGGTTAATTCCACAGTAAATGGACCATGGTAGCAGTGGATGAAAAAGCTAAGGAGACTCAGATCTGCTTGGCATTTAAGTGGGAAGCCATCAAAGTAGAGCGAACGATGAACCTACAATAAGAAGGCAAATGAGCCACGGACGCAAACATTGGGGTGAACGTGTATCGACCAGGAGTTGAGCTCCATTCAGGGAACTCTTTTAATTTTTGTTTTTTTTAACTTCACACTTTGAGCTTAAGTTGAGAGAGACTTTCTCGCAGGACTTTATCTTGTCTTGCCAGCCTGCGCGAGATGACGCGATGCTGTGTTTGGCGGGGGAAAAAAATGAAGAATGCGTATGTTGGCGATGACTTAGGTTAATGCACGCGATGGAACAGGGTAATTTGACAGTCTGTATTGGTGCAGGGATGAAGTATTGACCTGAGACTCTATGCAAAGAATGAGGCTTCTTCTCCTTTATATTAGTAGACAACGCCTCATCAACTTTACCTAGGCCCAATCTCGTTCACCCGCGCCTTGCTCCTAAGAGGTCTCGTAGTGTGAGCGACCTATCTCAATATCGGCGGGACATTGCTGGAATGTACAGGCTGTATGGTACGTCCGAGTGCTGCTGTTTACCTGGGCTGCACTTTTATCAAAAGTAGTGTGTTGAATTCTTTCTTCCCCCCCCCAACCCAGAAAAAAAAAATTAAAAAAAAAAGAACACCGAGCTTTTATTTTTCACCACTTCCCGTAATCTGATCCAGGGTTTCGCAGCCGAGGCTTAACTGTTTGCCACACTTTCAAGGGGATCCACTGTGACAGTGGATTCTGGATGAATTGAACCGGCCAGAGACTAAAACTCACACTTGGGGAGATGAAAACACAACAATCTCAACGTCTGCATGCGGTTTTTACCCCTCCCCTTCCTCCCCCCCCCCCCCCCGCTCTGTGTGATTGAGAAGCCCGTATTCCAATTGTTTTGCAAAGCTAGTTTGATTAAATTGAGAAGTAACAATCTGCCTCACCCGCTCTGGCCAATTCCTCACCTTTCCAAAAAGTCCCAGCTCTGAATAAACAGAGAGAATCCTACGAAGAGTCCGAAAGGGAGGCTGCTTTAGACAAACGGATCCTTCCCTTGCTGGTTTTAGCTTGACGTAGAAAAAAAATAATAATAACAACAACAGCTCACTAATGTTCTTGGTTCTCTCAAAAATGCTTGCACTTTTTACTTTGCTTCGACTTGTACAAGCGCCACTGTGTTCCCTGCTGCTGCTGCTTTGGCTGCACTGAGCGAAAACCCAGCTCTTTCGTCCGCGTGTGTCTGTGTGGCGCGTGAGTGCGCAACCCCGGGGGCGGCCCAAGCATCTCATGTCTCTGCCTTTGTGTTGACCCATGTAGAGAAACCCCTCTTCACCCGGGATGCCTCGCAGCTCAAAGGCAACTTCCTCAGCACAACTCTGAAGAAAAGCAATATGGGCTTCGGATTTACCATCATCGGTGGGGATGAGCCCGACGAATTCCTCCAGGTCAAGAGCGTCATCCCGGACGGGCCGGCGGCACAAGACGGCAAGATGGAAACCGGTAAGCCCATGATGGGAGTATTTATTTATTTAGCAGATTTAGGGCCTCGGCGGAGGTCATGCAATCCCGGATATACAAATTTAGTCTGAATAAAGCACCAGCAAATAGATAGACAGACCGATGTAGGTAGGTAGGTAGGTAGGCAGGCAGGCAGGCAGGCAGGCAGGCAGGCAGGCAGGCAGGCAGGCAGGCAGGCAGGCAGGCAGGCAGGCAGGCAGGCAGGCAGGCAGGCAGACAGACAGATAGATAGATAGATAGGATATTGGATGGGATGGATGGATGGATGGATGGATGCATGGATGGATGGATGCATGGATGCATGGATGCATGGATGCATGGATGCATGGATGCATGGATGCATGGATAAGATACAGATATAGGTGATATAGGTGATTAATATATAAGATAGATATAGATACAGTATATAAATAAATAATAGAGATACAAATATATCATTGATATAGATAGATGATTAATAGATGATTGGTAGAGATTGATATATATATGTATATATATGTTTATGTGTGTGTGTGTGTATATGTGTGACAAATGGCTCTCCAGTCTCTTCATATATATATATATATATATGCCAAACAAATAAAATAAAACGAACACCAGGGTAAAATAATCAAACTCTAGGAGTTTAATGTTACAGTACCAAACGCCAAGCTTTCGTCAGCATTCTGCTGACATCATCAGGGCTTAAATGGTCAGTCTATGGGAGAGTTTTATAGTTCGAACTTGGTCTGCACACGGCCCCTGGACCTCGTTACTGGTCCTGGTTGTATCAGCTGCGCTCCAGCGGTGATCCTTCCTCCGCTGGTTGTCCCCATCCTGCAAGACTTATCTGTGCGGTTGCTCCTGTTCAGCTCGTTCGCCCGC